CTGGATTGATATCTACCTTGGCCAAAATATTATTCTATATCCATTTCCCAATTCGTACCACACTAATCTTGGAGGATGCGCTGACTACCCTGCACTCATCGTTAAGGCCACATAAGCATCAGAACGCACTCACGATTCCGAACGATCGTAAGGGTGAGTCCAAGTTAAACTCCACACCCACGTGGAAATGTGGAGTCGTAAGAATGAATTATTACGTCTTTGAAACACTGGCCAACCAACAGCGGCCAGTTTGAAAGGAGCTGAATACGGTAGTGACCACGATGGGTGACCTCGGTTCGGGTGTCGCTGCGGCGCCTATGGCGCAATAAAACGCCGCTTAACAATGTCGAGAAAGTTAATGTGAATTAAACCTCAGCAGGTGGCGTGATTCTTTCTCGCCAAATCTCGCCTTCCGCTCATTGAGTCCGCCTCCGGTAGCTGGAACTGTGGAGTTGTAAAAGGTGGACATAACTTATTTATGTCGTTGTTTCAATGACTACTGAGATCATCTCATGTTGGATTCTCTTTTTTTTCGTGATTTCAGCATATCAGCTTACATATGTTTTACATGCATTGTTCTCTTTGGAAATTTCATATGAAACATCTCATTTTACGGCATTTCACCGTAATCGCCTTGTTGCTGCTGTTGTCGCTGGATGTCTTCAGGAGCTCTGAGATCCACTAAGGGCAGAAGATATCATGAGTTGCTAAGCACTTCAAATCATAATTCTGGACTCGCAACTTCGGCACCCTTTCCTCATCGTTCTCATTGTCAGTCCCATTTACAAAGATATCCAGCAGCACATTAGGTAATGTTGAGTTTTAGACTTTCCACAGTAGATTATATCTTGGGCTGCGTTCCTCATTGTCTGAATAAACGCCAACTATTGAAAGTCCCAAACTATTTCCCTAATGTGGTCCGAGATTTTCGCTACTTTCGGCAAAATGGTATCGTTAGCATTCCTTCCGGTAATGATGCAGGTGAATTCGTGCTCAACCAGTGCCCTGGCCGCACCCCTAATCGAGCATCACAGTCTTATTCTGACTTAGAGTTTCTTCTGTTGATTGACATCACTAATGACGATTTCTTATAAACACAGATGCTGGTGATGCGACCTCAACTATAGAGGTTGCAATATCTGTATGTCCTGATAAGGGTTTTTGACACATACATAAATTGAATGGACATTACTTGACACCTTTTTTTGCGACCATCCGGACTACACTAGGCTACATACAAACACACAAAGCACTGTTAACATCACAGATTGCATATAAAGAGCATTACGCCATTAGTTGTAGGAGTAACAGAACATAAAACTCCGATGTCTTCAATATTATCTAGGGCAATCCGTGCCGTTGAAATCGTATACCTCCATCTCGCCTGTTCCTTGCTGAGTAATTATTTCTCTCATTTACAAAGCAGTAATTTGGTGTGCATTTTTGTGTGGTTGTCTGTTTGTCTGTCTGTCCGTCTGCGAAACTTACAGTAGCGCTCAAAAGTCTTCGGTGAAATGCTTTGACGCTTTTTCGTTCATAACTTTTTTCTTAGTAGACCAATTCGCGCAAA